GATACAGGTTTCCTTCTGTTTTAAAGGACTTCTGATTTCACACTGACATTTGTTGAACACTTCTTAGGTCACAAAACAGTGTGAGTTAAATAAAAGAACTATAAAAGGTCAGCATAAATTTCTGTTTTTCTTCAAAGACAAGTAGTACCTGTGGAAGGAAGAAAAGAAACTATTAAGAGATTGGATTCCAAGCTGTGGTTGTCTGCTTTGTTGTCAGGTGCCATCAACTCATCTCAAAGCAACAGAATGAAACTCTTACCAACACTGTAACACCCTCACCATCTCCTGTAATGTGCAGAACTACACTGAAATCTTCAGTAAATCGTCACCTACACATACCCACACAGTACAGGAAAACTCTTTCTAAAACCAAAGTTTTTATCTCTGCAATTGCTTAGGCTTTAGGGTTTTCAAGTTCCCTACCCATTTAATATAGATTACATCTCAACATCAGTAAAGCCATAATCCTTACCACTGGGCCAGTAGGCAACAATGTGAAACGAAATGATTGAAGTGGTCCACAATTTCAGTTTACTTGTTGGATCTACAGTCAACACCCATGGTAACATCAGTAAGAATTCAAAAGACGTATTGCCCTGAGAAAAATCTGTCAAGGACCTCTCTCCAAAGTATTAAGGCACAAGTTTAAAGAATAAAGTGTGCCTCATCTAAGCCATGGTCTTTTCAGTTATTTCTTACGTATCTGAAATTTGGACAGTGAATAAGGATTACAGAAGACAACTCAATGCCTTTGAGTTGTGTTGGAGAAGAGTACTGAGTATCCCATGAACTGCCAAGACAACAAACAGGTCTGTGTTGGAGGAAGTGTAACAGAGTACTCCTCAGAATCGGGGATGGTGAAACTTGGTCTCACCTACTTAAGACGTATTGCCAGGAAGTGCTAGTTGTAGATCATGCTGGGAATAGTGGAGAATCAGCAGAAGAGAGGAAGAACCCTAACAGGATAGATTGACACAGTATAACAGTGGACTTGAGCTTATCAAAAATTATGAGGATGGCATAGGATAGGGCCAGGTTCAGAACTTTTGTTTATAGGGTTGCTCTGTTGTTTGTAGGCCACTCAGTGACACTTAACAACAACTCATTGATATTTTCCTATAGCCATATTGATATTAGCCGTTAGCTAATTAAAAGATTAAAGTGCTTATTTACATCGTGCATCGTAATTCTGTGTACTCTCTCAGTTTGCAGTTGTCTGAAATCCTTTTAAATGTTATTCTCTTAAATTTTAAATCAGTAAAACAGTAGTAGAAGGTTCTTTGCCATTTTAGCTTTTCCCAGACTTAGAAATACATCATGTTTAGCCAAATATTTTCCACTCAAAATAACTTGTGATTAAGTCATGGGCCTTTATCCACTATTTGAATGAAATATCTTTGTTTCTTCCCTAAACATCTATAGCTAACTTAGTACTACATCAGACTGTGGAACGAATTCATGTCGGAAAAAAATACGGTGATATTCCTCGAGGGATTTTTGTGGTCAGAGGAGAAAATGTGGTTCTACTAGGAGAAATAGTAAGTGAATATTGTTAAGCTGTGATACATTTTTATATTTATGCTAGTAAAGGGTGTTTTTGTTCTTTTCAAAAAGAAAGGAAAATATTTTCCACATTTTACCTATCTTCTTACCACCAATTAACCTAAGAAAGCTATAGTTCTACAGAGGGAAGCCACAGAGAATAACAAACTTCGTTGCAGTGCCTTTTGACGGAGTAAAGATTATTACCAATTGGCAGAAAAAAAAAGTTGGCCTACTTGATTTTATGAAGAGTAATATCCTACACAAAGGTGGTTGTTGTGGTTGTTATGTGCCATCGAGTCGCTTGCGACTCATAGCGACCCTCGGTACAACTGCCCTAAACCCTGCTCCATCCTGTGCCAGTCACACTGCCTCTGACACACCCATCCCGATTACCCCAGTCACTGAATCAGTCCACCTCATAGAGGGTCTTCCTCTCCTGTGGTGACCCTCTACCCTCCCAAGCATGATGTCTTTCTCCAAGACCTGTCCCTCCTTGCAACATGCCCAAAGTATGTCAGACAAAGTCCCAGAATCCTTGTCTCCAAAGAGTAGCCTGGTTTAATCCTCTCCAGGATGAATCTGTTTGTTTTCTTGGCAGTCCATGGTACATTCAATACTCTTCTCCAGCACCACAGCTCAAAGGTATCAATTCTCCTTCTGTCTTCCCTGGTCATTGTCCAGCTCTCTGACGCATAACAAGTGATTGCAAAGACCATGACCTGTATCAGATGCACCTTAGTCTCCAGAGACACACCGTTACTCTTGAGTACTTTAGAGAGGTCCCTAACAGCAGACTTTCCCATCGCAGTATGTTTTTTGATTTCCTAGCTACTGGTGCCAAGATATTTTTGCTGTTGCCTAACAAAATCATTCAATAAAGTATGGTTTACATGTTTTGAAATATTTTTCGGTCCTTTAAACAGTTGATTACCAATAGTTTTTCATTATATAAAATTAACTTGTGGTGGTTTTAGAATACATTGCATATCTAGTGTGATAGCCGTGTATTTTTTAAAGGAGAGAGAAAATTACAAAAGTGCTACTGTGAATTGCTGTTAAAAATATATTGTGGTTTGATACTTTTTGTTAAGTTTCTTTGCTGAATGTTTAAGCATCAGAAATTTTCATCTCCTTTCCTTGTGCTTGGCATTATTTGGAGGCTAAAGAAAAACAACGTAGGTCCTGGGTAGGGACATTAGTAAATGACAGGAATGTCCTCTGCTAGCATACTAAGAGAAACTTTGAAAAGTAGGATTATGGATAATCCCCCCCCCCTTTTATACTTTTCTGAGTTTAATTTTTAAAAAGGAAACGGACTAGTTGGGTATCAGAAGGAAAAAAATTAAGTTAAAATGTTTGTGTATTTCAGTTCTATTTTATAGTAATAACCCCAATAGTCATACTTTTCGTGCCAGTTACATTGGCACAGTTGTGCCCATAACTGAGAGAGATAAGAGGAACAAAGTGAACGTGTGTTTGTTTTTTGAAAAATTGTTATTTCCTGAGATTTTTCTGTGGGAGAAAAATACTCATTTCACACATTCTTTTATGTATGTGAGAGAGACAATTTGAATGTTGCAGAATTTTCACAATAGCATCACTAGAGAGACATTGAGAATGCTTACATAATCATATGACTCAACAGTCAGTATGAAGAAATTATCTACTAACCTAGGGAAACTCATACCCAGAAACCATTCATATTCTATAAACAAATACATTGCTCAAGAATTCTCTAGATTTTGCCTCAAGGATGATACACACAGCTTTAAGTAATAGATATGATACTTGAGAAGCAGTAGCCTCATAACAGCGTGTTCCATTGAATAACATATTAAAAAGCCCTAGAGGCAGTACACTAAGCTAAGAACATTTTCTTCTCTTCAGTTGCTACCCAAAGGTAGTAAGAGCCAGCTCCACATGATAGTAATATATTATCTTAGTGGATGCAGTTGATTTTTGACGTAGGGTAGGGGTAGCTTATGTAACTAGGGTGGCTTTCGTGTGACCTCTGTGGTTAAAGTTCTTTATCTGATGTGCTGCTGCCTTGTGGGTTCTGAGACCTTGGTGGTTATATGAAGCTTAGTATCTAGTTGGTATGTTAAAACATCTGGAGCATTTATATGTATTTCTCTCCCTTAGAAAAATAATTTATACTTAAAGCCATAGAGGAGGAAGGATGAGATACAAGAACACCCTCTCTGTATAAACTTATCATGATAACAATAACATAGAAAATACTGTTATCTCGGGTATGTTTATTTAAGGAGAATATGTCAGTCTGGAGACTAAGATGTGCCTGATACAGACCATAGTCTTTACAGTTACTTGTTATGCATCAGAAAGCTGGACAATGACTAGGGATGATAGAAGAAGAATCGATGCCTTTGAGCTGTGGTGCTGGAGAAGAGTACTGAATATACCATGGACTGCTAGGAATACAAACAAGTTTGTCCTGGAGAGGGTGAAACCAGGCTACTCCTTGGTGGCAAGGACTCTGAAGCTTCATCTGACATACTTTGGACATGTTGCAAGACAGGACCATACTTGGAGAGGGACTTCTTGCTTGGGAGGGTGGAGAGACAACGCAGGAGAGGAAGACCCTTGAAGAGACAGATTGATTCAGTGACTGTGGTAATGGGGGTAGGTATGTCAGAGATGATAAGATTGGCACAGGATAGAGCAGGGTTTAGGGCTATTGTACATAGCATCACTATGAGTTGCAGGCTACTCGACAGCACATAACAACAACAATGTATAAATTAATTTAAAGCCATGAGAAGTCAAGTTAACAAGGAAATATTCATTTACAGCACTGATATTTGCAAAGGTAAAAGAACAAACAAACACCCCTAACTGGTTACACTTACTAGTGGTAAGGATGAGTGGAAAGGGACACCTATAGTATATGGTAAGATCTTTCATTGGTTCCAGTACAGTGATTTGGCAATACCCTACATATACTCCAATAAGACAGTGAGATTGGCACTGGATAGAGCAGGGATTAGGGCTGTTGTACATGGGGTCTCTATGGACGCAGGCAACTTGATAGCACATAACAACATACAGATTCTGGAGAAAGTCAGAAATTTTTATAGCATGGTTCTTCTGCGTTATGAAATTGGCTATTAAATGTTTATAAATTGTTAAAGAAAAAATATTAAGCATATTTTATGCCATATTAAATATAAGAAAACTATTTTCATGTGAGGTGTTTGTTAAAAAAATTAGTAAGAGTACTAAACTAGTTTGAATCCTACACATTTATTTTAAACTAGTAAATACTCTAGATGTCCTGATAAGATGTAGGTGTTCTGCTAAGGTACTCTAGAAATTCTGATGCTACAGCAGAAAATCCTCTGTTGTAAAGAGTTCTAATAAATGCAGCAACTTTGAATCATGGCTGTCTACCTTCTTACTGAGCAACCACCTCCAGAAATTAAGCTGACTTTGAGTCTAAGCGATATATGATAGGGAATGATGGTTATCACAAGAGTCCAGAATTAAGGTTGCATAGTGGAGTGTACATGAGGTGGTGGAGGGGGTGCAGGGGGATTGTATAGCAATGAAAGAATTTTACTTTTCAAAGAGAGGAGCAAACTGGGGAGAGGGCTAGGCAGGGAGAAAAGTGCAACAATGAATGAATGGCAATCCAAAATCTCTGTAAATGTTCATCAAAATTAATAAAATAAAATTTTTTAAAAAAACAACTTACTGTGTGTAAGAAAGATGAGCATTCTCCTCCAGTGCAATTAACTGCCTTTGAAAACCCACTGGGGGGCCACCTTGAGTCAGTTCTAACTTGATGGTAGACAGCAATGTCATTTAGGTCTCAGTAATGCCTCTTGAATTCTATGGAATTAGGAAGATAGCAACATGGCTGTACTTTCTCCAAGATATATTTGTTTGTTCTTTTATCAGTCTATGGAATATTCAGGACTTTTCTCCAATACCACAGCTCAAGTCTTCTATCTTTAATCATTATCCAACTCTCAGAAGTAATTGAAAAGACTGTGGCTTTAATCAGATGCATCCTGGTCTTTTAAACCAGTCTCATCTCTCATACCACCCTGAAGAGGTCCTTGACAGCAGATTTACCCAGAGCAATAGGTCTTTTGATTTCTTGACTGATGATGCCAATGGTGTTGATTGTGGATCCATGCAAGTTGAAATGGTTGATGCCTTTAATCTTTATCTAACATGACGTTGCCTTTTGGTGCAATTGTGAGGATTTTTGTCTTGATGCTGAGATGATGTTCACTATGAAAACTGTAATCTTTCATCTTCTGCCTCAAAGCATTTTAAGCTGAATTCACTTTTTGCTAAGCACATTTGTTCCATTTGCATATTGCAGGTTATTGATGACTGTAGTGAAAAAAATGTGTTTCTAAGCACGGTCGTCAATTTAAATGTGTGCGGCAACGTGTTAAATAAAAGTTAATCTTTAATAACACAAAGTTAGTCCTCCATTCAATAGGATTTTGGATAACCTAAAGCTTTGTTAAAAGAGTTCATGTGGCCAAGAGTCTAGAATAAGGTTGCATAGTGCAGTGTACTTGGGGTGGTGGGAGGGGTGGGGTGGGGGGATTGTACACCAAAGAAGGAATTTTTCTTTTTAAAGAGAGGCGCGAACTGGGCAGGGTGAGGGGTGGGCAGGGAGAAAAGTGCAACAATGAATGAATGAAAATCCAAAATCTCTGTAAATATTCATTAAAATTAATAAAATTTTAAAAGAGTTCATGTGGCAAAAACTTTTAAACTTAAACTGCTAAACCAAGATACCATGGAAATAAGGCCTCATGATCTGCTTCTGAAAGTCACAGGCTTAAAAACCTTATGGGACAGTGTGTTCTGCAAACACAGTTGACTGGGTCGCAACCAACAACAACAAAAACTTATGTTTATATTCTGTAGTATTGCCAGACTTTTCCTTGAAAAACCTGTCTCTGGGAAGAAGGCTGCTTCAGCCCTATCAGAATTATGAAAAATAACTCACATCTTATGTTAGAATCTGTTTACATTTAGACATGTAATACATTCCTTTTTTTTTCCTTTTTTGGTCTCTAGATGATATTTTTCAAACTTGATTGTTTTGTGTAGGACTTGGAAAAAGAGAGTGACACACCCCTCCAGCAAGTGTCTATTGAAGAAATCCTAGAAGAGCAAAGAGTGGAACAGCAAACCAAACTGGAAGCAGAGAAGCTCAAAGTCCAGGCGCTTAAGGATCGCGGCCTCTCCATTCCTCGAGCAGATACTCTGGATGAGTATTAAGTCTTTTGTTCAAGGGTAGTTGCTCATCCGAAACAGGATCTGTCACTGAAATGAAAGGGACATCCTGGTCACCTTGGGCCAGAGACTGTAGAATTTTGCGGAGGAATTTTTATTTTGAATTCTTTTACTTATGCAACATGAAGAAATAATGTGGCTTTCTTTTTCTTTTTTTTTTAAAGTAACAAAATCATTGTTTAAGGAAACAGTGAAATGGACTGTGGAACCAGCAACTACTTTATATTACTTTCTTTATCCCAAAGTATACTTTACAAGAGACATTCTTCACCTGCTTGTAAATAAAATATGAATCTCTAAATTGTCATTATTTTCCCCCGATTTTCGGTTGCCTCCAGTAGGTAGATAAAATTGTGATCTATCAGTATAAGCAGTCCACACTGGGATTTCCCCTTCCATCACAGTTTTAAATTGTTAGTTATGAAGAAATATTTTCTTCATACTAATTATCTTCATGGGGCACACTTTTCCTTTTCACATTTATAACTGATAAGAAATACAGATTTTCAGACTTAAGGAAATGGCTTTCAGGTAAGTTTCCAGTAGGTTGTTGCTGCAGAAGGTTCATGCTTGACAAAGAAGACAGCAGTAGTTCAGTGGTAACATTTTCACCCTCGTTGTGGGAGACTTGGGTTCAATTCCTGGCCTAACTGTCTCATGCCATCTGACTGTCAGTAGACATTTACATTGTTGTGATACTGAGCAGACTTTAGCTAAGCTTCCAGACAAAAATGAACTGAGAAGATCTGGTAATATACTCTGTTGTTGTTGTTGTGTGCCATCGTGTCGCTTGCAACTCATAGCGACCCTATGTACAAGAGCTCTAAACGCCGTTCTATCCTGTGCCAACCTCGCTGTCTCAAGCACATTCATTCCCACCACTCCACTCACAGAATCGATCCGTCTCATGGAGGGTCTCCTCTCCTGCGCCGCCCCTCCACTCTCCCAAACATGATGTCCCTCTCCCAAGGCGAGTCCCTCTTTGCAACATGCCCAAAGTAGGTCAGACGAAGCTTCAGAATCTTTGACTCCAGGGAACATTCTGGCTTCACCCTCTCCAGGACAAACCTGTTTGTTCTCTTAGCAGTCCATGGTATATTCAACACTTTTCTCCAGCACCGCAGCTCAAAGGCATCATCAATTCTAGACATTCTTAAAAAAAAAAAAAGATAGACATTCTTCTGGTACTCCTTACTTTCAGCCAAGATCCATCTAACATTAGCTATACTAGAAGAGCAATGGTGTCACTCTGGAGACTAAGGTGCTTCTGATACATGCTATGGTCTTTGCAGTCACTTGTTATGCATCAGAGAGTTGGACAATGACTAGGGAGGATAGAAGGAGAATTGACGCCTTTGAGCTGTGGTGCTGGAGAAGAGTATTGAATATACACCATGGACTGCCAAGAAAACAGATTCAACCTGGAGAGGGTTAAAGCAGGCTGCTCCTTGGAGGCAAGGATTCTGGGGCTTCGTCTGACATACTTTGGACATGCTGTAAGGAGAGACAGGTCCTTAGAGATGGACATCATGCTTGGTAGGGTGGAGGGATGGTGTAGGAGGGGAAGACCCTCTCCAAGAACCAGTCCCTCCTTGCAACATGCCCAGAGTATGTCAGACGAAGCTTCAGAATCCTTTTACCAAGGAGCAATCTGGTCTCACACTCTCTAGGACGAACCTACCTGTTCTCACAGCAGTCCATGGTATATTCAACACTCTTCTCCAGTACCAAAGCGCAAAGGCATCAATTCTATCGTCCCTATTCACTGTCCAACTCTCTGATGCATAGCACATAATTGCAAAGACTATAGCCCAGATCAGGCACACTTTAGTCTCCAGTCTCACGTCATTCTTCAGTACTCTTGAGAGGTTCCTTCACAGCTGACTTTCCCAGTGTAATTCGTCTCTTGATTTCCTGGCTGCTGTTATAAGAGTGTTGACTGTGCAATCAAGTAAACTAAAACTGTTAACTGTCTCAACCTCTCCACCATCCATACTGATGCTGCCAGTTGGCCCAATGGTGAGAATCTTTTGTTTTGTTGATGTTGAGCTTCAGTCCATATAAGAAGGCTGCAGTCCTTGACCCTCTGCAGCAAGCACCTCAGGTCCTCCTCAGTTTCAGCAAGCAAGGTTGTGTCATCCGCATAAGGCAGGTTGTTCATGACTCTTCCACCAATCCCGATGCCACATTCTTCCTCATACAACCCAGCATATCAGATGATCTGCATACAAATTAAAAAGGTATGGAGACAGAATACATCCCTGATGGACCCCCTTCTTGATTTTGAACTATCCAGTGTCTCCCTGCTCTGTTCTGATGACTGCCTTTTGGTCCACCTATAGGTTTCGCATTAACACAATCAAATGTTCTGGGATACCCATTCTTCTCAGAGTCAGGGTGATCCACACAGTCAAAAGCCTTAGCATAGTCAATGAAGCACAGATAAACATTCCTCTGGTATTCTCTGCTTTCTGCCAAGATCTATCTAACATTAGCTATAATATCCCTAGTACCACAACCTCTTCTAAATCCAGCCTGTACATCTGGCAGTTCTCTGTTGACATAATGTTCCAAACGTTTTTGGATTATTTTCAGCAGAATCCTGCTTGCATGTGATATTAATGATATTGTTTGATAATTTCCACACTCTGTTGGGTCACCTTTCTTTGGATTGGGAACAAATACCAATCTTTTCCAGTCAGTTGGTCAGCTGGCTGTCCTCCAGATTTCCTGGCACAACTTAGCACATCCAGGGCGGCATCTGTTTGTTAAAATAATAGGAACATAGAAAATTTTATTTTAATGACTGACACCAATTGAGATATTTCAACAATGGAATATAGAAGTTTTTACTAGTATATCTGCCAAGATACTTGGAAAACCACTATGACCAGAATGTGGCAATTACTGAACATATTAAAATGTCACATTGCTGAAGATAATTTAAAAATGGTTATAGCAGTTATTTGACAGGGAACATCCAGAAAGTCAAGCTGGATTCAGAAGAGGAGGTTGTAGAACAAGGGACTTCATTGCTGTTGTCAGATGGGTCTTAACTGGGAGCAGAAAATACCATAAAGAGCTTCCCTGTATTTCCATGAGCACTTAATTTATGCTCATGTGGAATAGTACATAGATCAAGAGGCAGTTGTTTGGAGGATGTTTGCAAGTTTTCAAGAGGATGCTGCATGGTTTAGAATTAAAAAAAAGTGTGTCCTTTCACACTATATTCAGCCTGGGTACTCAGCAAATAAATCCAGGAAGGAAGACTATCTGAAGAAGAATGCATTGTCAGGATTGATGGAAAACTCAATCCAGATACACAGTGTTGCCCTGCTGAAAACAAACAGGACTTGCTGCACTTTGTGATGAAGCTCAGACACTGCTTTCAGGATGGATTACACCTCAATATAGAAACTATCACAACTAGAGCAACAAGCACCATGATAAACTGAGAAAGAAGTTGTCAAAGATCTCATTTTACTTGGATCCCCAGTCAGTGTTCATGGAAGCAGCAGTTGAGAAATCAAACAATGTATTGGACCAGAGTGCTGCAAAAGACCTCTTTAAAGGGTTGGGGGGAAAAAAGATGTCACTTTGAAGACTAAGGTGTGCCTGACCCAAATCATGGTATTTTCAGTCACCTCACATATATGCAGGAGCTGAGAAATGAATAAAAAAGTTCAAAGAAGAATCAATACACTTCAATGATACTGGTGAAGGGATTGAATATACGATGAACTTTATAAAAACAGCAGTCTTGGGAAAAGTACAAAAGCCAGTTACCTTTTCAACCTTCTTCAAACAAAGCTCCAAATGTGGTAACAAAGGATAAGATTTATTCTTATGTAAAAAGAAGGAAAGGGGACTTAATATCCACAGTTAGTCAAGAAGTTTTTTGTATTGAATTTCCAAGCAGTAGTGTAATGGTATTTCTTTTTTTTTTTTAATTTTTTTATTACTTTTTTTTTTTTAATGTGTGTACCATCAAATCATATCTGACTGATACAGGAGGAGATTGTTCCTCCTTCTTCAGCAGAGCATCTGGTGGATTCGAACCTCACATCTCTGGAATTGCAGTGCAGCTTCTTGCCAGTAGGCCACCAGAGCTCGCCGTGTAATGGTATTTCAGACAGAAAGAATGTGTTACTTCAGTCTTTGTCACCCCAGCAGCCACCAATGATGAAACTAAACTACTTAACTCCTTCCTGTCAGTTCCTTGGTGCAGTGACTTGCCCTCAGCTCTGCCTAGTCAGGCTTTGCAGATATTTACTGAGATCTTTTCCTGGGCCACTACTGGTACATTCTTCTCTTACTAGATTTCAGAATAAATCTCAATTTAGTTTTATGTCTTTAACACTTTCTCCCAGTAATGGTTCTCTTGAGCTTGCTCTAAGAGAAAAAGGAAAGATTTTCTTGGCCACCTTTATTATGATGCACTTGAGTTTGGTACCATATCTCCCACTGTGCCAGCTGTTCTTTTTTCCTCTTCTTTACCCCTTATATTGTACATTCTAAGGTGAGTTTAAACCACCATGTATTCCTTCTCCCTCGCCTACACTGATAAAACTCCAAGAGGCCCTGAATGCTGTGTAAAACCTCGACTAGCCTGCTGCTGTCAGTTGCGTCTGGTTCATAGTGATCATAAGATTTCTGAGGTTATTAATTTTTACAGAAGGAGATTGCCCATCTTCCTCCCATAGAGCAGCTAGTGGGTTCAAACCATTGAGCTTTTATTTAGCAGCCTGATAAGTGACCCCATCAAGGTTCCCCTCAAAGTAGAGACAGATACCCTCATATTCATGGTGGAGGGCTTCGCAGAGAAGCCATCACAGTGAATCCCAGAGGCATTACACAGAGGGGAAGGTGACTAGAAAGTGATCTCATTTTCCTCCTACACTTGTAGGTTAGGAGACTCAGGCAGAGCACAATGCAGGCGGCAGAGACTGAGGACCAGCACATAGTCCAGACAAAATATGACTTGG